CTAGGATCAATCTGTATAGTTTTTGCTTTGATAAACTCACCTTGTTGTTGTGTTAATTTGCATTTTCTGGGTAGTAGTGACGTAAGCATCTCTTTGTGTGTGGATGGATCATTTGATTTCATCTTCTGTGAATTGCCTGTTCAAATACTTTGTTCTTTTTTTTTAACTGTATTGACATTTATAGACAGTCTCTCTATAACCTTAGTATTATTCATTGGCTGCTATATATGTAATATACCTTAGTTAAAAGTTGTTACTTTTACCCTTTTCATTTTTTGAGTTGGAGTCTCACTCTGTCGCACAGACTGGAGTGCAGTGGCCGCTCCCGGCCACCGCAGCCTCGACCTGCTGGGCTCTGGTGATCCTTCTGCCTCAGCCTTCCAAGTAGTCAGAATTCTACTGATTTTTTGATTTATTGCAGAGATGAGGTCTCGCTGCCTGGGCGGGTCTCGAACCAGCGGGCTCAGGCAATCCACTCACCTCAGCCTCCCAAAGGCGCGGGATTACAGGCTGAGCCACCGAGCCTGGCTACTTTTACCCTTTTTATAGTATCTTTTTTAAAGTGTCTAACTTTCTCTGGTTACGTCTGTCAGTTTTCTTTGTTAAAGATTTGGGGTTGGATGTCTTCCTTAGGAAAGCCTCTCCCACCTCTATGTTTATAAATATATTATCTTATATTTTCTTCTAATACTTCTATAGTTTATTTTTATGTTGAGTATTTTTATAAAATTGGAAATTATTCTTACATATGATTTTGTGTAATGTAGTATGTATTTTTTTGGTTATAATTGCCCCAAAACTTTTAACTGAATTACTTATCCTTTCCTAACTGATATGAAATAATATTCTACCTTAATTATAGTACATTTCAATATATAAATGCAGTCTCTTTCTGGAATCTATGTGCTGTTTCATTGACCTATTTGCCTACTCAGGGCCAATATAAGACCAGTTAAATTACTACTGCTTGAAAGGGTGTTTTGGCAACTGACCAAAAAATTAGGATGGCTCCAAACATTGCTGTAACAAAGTAAATATGTTGTCATAATGATCAGAAGCAAAAAAAACAAAAAACAAACAAAAAACACAAAGACACAAACAAAAATTAAGACAAGAAAATGCACAAAAACAAAGAAATAAGCTTGAAGGGCTTCTGGCTGGCAGGTTGTAATATTCTGAGTACTCCAAAAGGGTGACGAAAATTATAGTAAGCCGAGTCTATAAAACGGCCACAGATTCATAATACTGCAATGAGAAAAAGGAGTTATATACAAAAGAAAGATGAATATAGGATATGTTTAAGGGACTATCACATATGTGGGCATTTTGTTTGCTCTATGAAGAACATACATTTTCATAAACCATTAGCATGCACCTGTTTCTACCTATGCACACAGGAAATAGTTAATACAGGAAATTGTAAGATAAACTAGGAAAATGTAGGACAAGAAGAAAAAAAAACTGATCACCACCAGTGGTCACACAAAATAATCAAGTAGAAAAGGAGTCCAGTTGATCGTGTACAATAACATGAGGGAGGGGACCCAAAAAACCCAGAACTATCTTTTGGAGGATGGGTCCCCTGCTAGGTAAGTGTTCTAGGAACCCATTGGCATCAGTGTACCAGCTAGTGTTGTTGTAAGAGGCTTTGTTCAGTGTCACTGACATTTTTTTAAAAATTCTTTCAATGTGTTTGCCCATTTCATGATGGGTGACTTATGAGCACACCTGCTCATACCACGTGAGTGTTCAGCAGTTTTTGACCAAAAAATGGCATGATCTCCATACTCCACCCTCCCTATTCACCCAATCTCACCCTGAGTGACTTTTTTTTAGATTCCCTGGATAAAAAAGCTCCTCAAAGGGAAACATTTTGCCTATGTAGAAGAGGTGAAACAAAAAATGGCAGAAACACTAAAAGTCATCAGAATTGACAAGTTCAAAAACTGTTTCGAGCAGTGGAAAAAGTGACTATGTTTCCTCACAAGAAAAATTAAAGGAGAGATTGTGATTGTGAGGCTAGCTCCTAAAGATTTTATTAATCCTAAGACCTTGGCAATAAAATATTTCACTACTTATTATGCTGGTAAATATAAGCCTGGTAGTATTACTTGAATACTTCTTTTAACTTTCCTATGGCATTTTAAATCTTACCAAATACTTTAATTGCCCTGTCTCCTTTCAAATGTATTACCACTACTGTAAAAGACACACACACACACCCACACACAGTGGTCCCATTAAAGGAACTGGACAGTCTCGACATCATCACCTTGGCAAAGTGCCAAGGATACAGCTACTGCTGGAGTCATTTTAGGAATCCATATTTTGAGAATCATTCTGGGAGCTCTAGAGCACTGATTTTAGAGCTCCTAGTATAACCTGAGACAGCAAATCTTTTTTTTTTTTTTTTAAGTCGGAGTCTCACTCCGACGCCCAAGCTGCTGGAGTGCTCACGGCCACCCCAGCATCGACCTGCAGGGCTCCGGCGATCCTTCCGCTTCAGCCTTCTGAGTAGCCAGAACTACAGGTGCACGCTACCATGCTTGGCTAATTTTTTTAAAATTTATTGTAGAGACGAGGTCTTGCCAAGTTGCCCAGGTTGGCCTCGAACCCGCAGGCTCAAGCAATCCACTCACCTTGGCCTCCCAAAGCCCAGGGATTACAGGCTGAGCCACTGAAGCGGCCAAGACAGCAAATCGTAACTCTCCTGAGTAAATTTAAAAAAAAAAAATTTAAAGAGTCATCTTTGATGTCTTTGAGCAGCATTTTGTAGTGCTTGTTGTAAAGGTCTTTCAATTCTCTGGTTAGATGGATGCCAAAGGTTGATTGGTTTGTTTGTGGCTGTTGTGAATGGAATTGTGTTTTTTTTGGTTCTAGGCTTGCTTGTTGCTAGCGTATAGAAATGCAACTGTCAGGTGTCTGATCCTAATCAAGGCGAAGTAAGGGACAATGGGAGGCCCAAACTTCACCTGTGCCTGGACACTTATGTACCCAATTCTGTCTTGCACCCCACATCTTTAAAATTTAAAAAATAAATGAGTTTTAAAAAAGACAACTGTCTTTTGCATGTTGATTTTGTAATCCCAGACTTTACTAAAGTCGTTTATCAGGCTTTTGACAGACTCCCTAGGGTTTTTTAGAAACCCTACAAAGAGGGACAGCTTAACTTGCTCTTTTCCTGTTGGGATACCCCTGATCCCTTCTCTTGCCTGACTGCTCTGGCTAGGACTTCCAGCACCATGTTGAACAGGAAGGGTGAGAGTGGGCATCCTTGTCCTGTTCCAGTGCTTACCGGGAATACATCCAGCATGTTGACTGCAGCACTATTTACAATAGCAAGAATATGGAACCAACCCTGCTGCCCATCGAGTAGACTGGATAAAGAAAGTGTGCTATGTATACATGATGGAATATGATGCAGCCATAACGGATTTCGCAGCAACTTGGATGGAGTTGGAGACCATCATACTAAGTGAACTACCACAGAAACAAAGAACAAAATACCACATGTTCTCGCTCATAAGGGGGTCCTTAACACTAGTCACATCAGCACAAGGGTCGGATGGGCAGTCACAGGGCACTGCTAGCGGGGAGAGCGAGGCGGGGGGAAGCACATGACAACACAAAGGGTACCTCGTCCATAAAGGGAAGCGAGGGCCCGTAAGAAGCCCAAACTGGCCGGGCTCGGTGGCTCAGCCTGTAATGCCAGCCCTTTGGGAGGCCCAGGCAAGTGGATTGTCTAAGCCCGCAGGTTCAAGACCAGCCCGAGCAAACTGGCGAGACCTTGTCTCTACAAGAAATCAAAAATGAGCTAGGTGTGGTAGTGTGGGTCTGTAGTTCCAGCTACTTGGAAGGCTGAGGTGAAAGGATCGCTGGAGCCCAGCAGGTCGAGGCTGGGGTGCCCCTGAGTGTGCCTCAGCACTCCAGCCTGGGTGATGGAGTGAGACTGCAACTCAGAAAAAAAAAGAAGCCTAAACTTCACCTGCACGCAGTCTACTTCGGTAGTCAATCCTCACTTATAGCCTACCACTCTATAACAAAAATAAATTAAATTTAAGAAAATCACCCAAGTACATTTTCAAGGGGAAATATAGATTTTGAATTCTGAAAACACTATGTTCTTAGATGCAGTCTTAGGATATAAAACATAGAACAAAACAATAAAATCATTTAATAACTTAAAACAATAAAAAAAAAGAGTTCAATGACACCTGGTCATCAAGCTAAGTCACAATCTGCAATTGGAAAATAAAGGCATTATTATAAAGAGACTTGAATTTCCATATTACATAGGGTGCCACAAAAATATATACATTTTAAGAAAGGGGAAAACTATATTAAAATTGAAATACTCAATATATACCGATAGCAAAAGATGAACACAAGTCACATTTGACTTCTGCAATTACAAGAGGTGCTCAAAGTGGTTGCCATCAGCATCGAGACACTTCTGATTACAGTGAACTAAAAGTGATACATAGATAATATCTCTTAAAATGTGGATACATTTTTTTTGGCACTCCAGGTATTTTAACTAGTAGTATAATGCAATCAGTGGTACAGTTCCCAAAGTAACCTCTTGGAGAGTAATATAATTTAGCTGAATATGCAAAAAAATTTCATAAGCACACTTCAGACACGCCCTATGTACTTGCTCACAAGTACTAAAAATGGGCCTTCCCAAAACACATCTACCACTGTCCCACCAAGCTTCCTAAAATTCAGAATACTTTGAGCTGAAGGACTGAGGTTGCTGCAACAGGGCCATAAATGCAAAGTGCAGTTGCCAGCACCATTAACACCCTAGTGTGAAGCTGTCTGACATAATAAAGTGTCAGCCTTGACCCACACAAGGCAACAGGACTTGGGGTGAAGGCTGTCAGAGAGGACAGTCACCAAAGGGAGACCTAAAGCCCCCCCTCCCACAAATCCTTGAATTAAACACAGCCCCCTTCCTTTCCAGATGCTCACCTTAAACAGATCAGACAAAACAAGGGTTGCATGGTCCAAGCATGTGGTGATTTTTATTAAGAATAACTTTGGTTCTAAGAATTCCACCCTCAATTCTGTAATACTTTCCATTAAAAACAATTGTACAAGAGCAAATACAAAAAATATTAAATTATGAAAACAAATCCATTAAGGCTCCCTTTATATATATTATATACACTCAAACAAGTCAACATTTTTCAGAGTAGAAGAATAAAGTCAACTGTTATAGCTTAGAAAGCAACACGACTTTACTACTGTGAGACTATAAAACACTGAACTAGCTTAAGAAAATCACAGAGTGGAAAAATGGAGCCATTTTTGTCAAAAAGTGGCTCAAAGCACAAAACTGCTCAGATGTTCAAATCTTAGGGGTTTGGGTTGTACAGTATCAGGCTTGTGAGCCCAGTCAATCCCCAACTTCAAAGAGCTGTTTCACCTGAACATTCCATCGCTGAGCATAAGACACCACGTTATGCTGTTTACAAGTCTTCTTTTGGCCAGACTTTGTATCACTGACTACAAATATTTCTGCAGATTTAAGGGAGACTGGGGGGGGGGGGGCTTTTTTAAATGAACTTTTTCCCAGTGAAGAATAAATTCTAGTTAAGTTCTAGGAACAGAATTGGACCTTTTAAAGAAGCCTGTCCAGGCCCTTGAGAATTTTGTCAAATGGCAGAATTGCTTTGCGGATACGGATCTCAAGATCTAGCTTCCAGTTAGATAAAAAGATAGGAGCCAGGTCTGTCTTCATTTGAGAAACAGCATCACCAGTCCATATATGAAGAACGCCAGCCAATGTGCAATCAGGAGTGTACTTTCAAGATGATCAGTGATCACATTCTCTTCTCTCAAAAGAAATGATGGAAAAATAGTTACCACTCCAATCTTCAAAAGCAAACTATTATAGAGCAACATTTTATCTGATGCATCTCTTATTTTATTCAAATAATACTTGCTGATGAGATACATAATCCATTTCAGGTGTAATCAACTAACATGTTTCTCTAAATAGCAAGTATATTATCATCGTGTTCACTTTTGTTCACATTAGGATTGAAAAGGGGTCTAATCGTCAACGGCTAGGACTAAAGCATTCCCAGAGAAAGCTCATTTCTACTGTGCTAGTTAAGGGTTGAAAAGCTCTGTATTCAGCATTCTATGAATCTTTAAAGGAAGCAGAAGCATCTGCAATGTAGAGAGATGACTGGCTGAGTTGTCTCTATGGAGAACATACTCAAACCGCAAAAGTGATTCCATATCACCCCAAGGAGAAGGTACCCGTGCGCACACCAGCAGCATAAGATGAATTCTGCATGAGAATGCTGCTGTTATTTGCAACTTGGGTCTCTCTCTGAAGAGCTTGAGGGAACTGAACAGTCACCTCCCCGCTGTCCCCACTTCCCCTCAGCTTTTCCTGAGATGCAACACAGTAGTCATTGATGTCACCATCGTCAACCACATCGCCGCTGTGAGATGTGAAACAGTCTTTCTTCACAAGAAAAAAAAGGTAAAGAAATATAGGATCATTAACCAGAAATGTTCAAAGCTTGGGTTCTAATGATATTCATTATCATTAGATATTCAAATGCTGCAAGTCTTCCAAAGAAGCCTCTTTGGGACCAATCTGCACTTGCTTCATATTAAAATACCTAAAGAAGTCCTCACCCACCAGTTCCTAATGAAAACTTTCCCCACATGCCTCTCAGAAGAAACGAAGATACTGGACCTTTGATACTGAGTTGGGTTGTATGAACTAGTTCCATTCTCCAAAGGATTGGGAGATTATTTTATCTAGAAAAATTAGCACAGCAAGAAATTTTAAACACACACACACACACACACACACACACAAACCCTACTAGTTATCAAAGCAATAGTGAATTTACATGGTGTACCTTCTCAGAATGGAATGTCACTATGTAGCATACTATTATTACACAGAGAACCAAGATAATTAAACGAGGATCAAGATGGATGTTTACATGCTTTTAAACCTTCTTATCCTATTTCTAAATTTAGTGCCAAGAAAGGTAACAGCTGTGGTCAACATGAATATTCTCTGGTGTTAATTCTAACACGAGTGAAATCATAAATTAAACAAGAAAATTTGGGTCCTCAAAATAAAATCTACAAATATTGAATGTAACAGATTAAACACATTTTCATGTGATTTAAATTATCTAACAGAGAACAAAAAAGAAGAATTAAACACCTTTTTTTTAGCTTTTTATAAAAAAAAGGCTCCATGCCCCAACTAAACTGGGATTGGAAGAAAACCCAAGCAGTGCAACTCTCAGGAACTGATTCCAGTGTCCTCTTCTTCTTTTCTTTTTTGCTTTTGCCTGTGATGTTTTTCAGTCTCTGAACATAGGTCCATTATTCCAACTCAAGTGCTGGGCAACGCCCTTCATTTGGCGAATAGGAACTGCAATTGTCATAGGCAATTTATCCACCCAGGTTGTAGGAAAATCAAACCAAATCCTTTTCAAAGTCAAAATTCTCTGCTGGCTGGCATTCTCTCCAGGGGCTTCTACCCTGAGATGGGTGCCAAGGACACACCTATAGATACAGCTCTGTGTGGTGACAGGCGGGGACATACAAGGTCTCCGTGCAGCCTAGGCCTAGGACTCCTGGGCTTGGGCGACTTCTTGGCCTGTTCTCCTGAGATTGCCTTTCACCTTCACAAACTCTGGGGCATTTTCTTGCTCTTCTTGCAGTTTCTGCTTTTCCAGTTCAAGCTAAATGGAATTCAAAAACAGGAAAATTATTTACAAATCCAGTGGCTTTTCAAAACATGCTTCTCTCTTTACAAAGTCCCTAAGCAACTTCATTTCTCAGTGGAAGAAAATCTCCTATACTTTTAAGACAAATATATGTATACAGGTCCAGGGGTAATTCTGCACAGAAATGACAACCAATCGGGCTGTTACTGCAAACAATACCAAGAGATGACAAGAGGCCAGGCTTGGTGGCTCAGCCTGTAATCCTGGCACTTTGGGAGGCTGAGGCGAGTGGATTACTTGAGCCCGTGGGTTCAAGACCCACCCAGGCAGCTCAGCGAGACCTCACCTCTACGATAAAATAAAAAATTAGCCGGGTGTGGTAGCAGGTGCCTATAGTTCTGGCTACTTGGAAGGCTGGGGCAGAAGGATTGCTGGAGCCCAGCAGATCAAGGCTGCAGTGGCTGGGAGCGTGCCACTGCATTCTAGTCTGGGCGACAGAATGAGACTCCAGCTCAAAAAAAAAAAAAGCAATGACAAGAACTGAAAAGACAAAGCTAAGGAAACAAGATGCTTAGGTCACCACACAGTTGCTCCGGAGACTCTGTGAAGGTGAATTTCATCAAATTGCTTTAAACTGCATGAATTCAGTGCTATTTCCTTGCTTTTTTTCTGCCTTTTGGGCCTGTTAGGTTCTCCACAGCGTTCTTGTCCCTTCTTGAATGTATTTGATCCCATTTGCTGACATCCGTTTCCTATTTTTCTTCCATGGTATCAGCATGGACCTCTGAAGTATCTGGTAAATTCCTCCTTCTCCAACACCCTTAACTCCTCAGGACAAAAAAGATAGCTTTTGCCCCCAATCACGCTCACCTGTTCCAGCTTCTGCTGCCGTTTCAATAGTTCTATTTCCAAGTCAGATTTCTTCTTTTGTGCTTCTTCTTCCTTCTGTTTTATTACTTGGTCTCGTTTTCTCTTTTCCATCACCTTCTGCAACTCTGGCTTATTCTGAGGGGCAAGACCCCTGCAAAAAAGCATTAATAAAAATTTTGAAATGTTAATCTAAAGGACAGACTTTTCATGAACAGAACGTTAAGGTCTCCACCACAGAGAAGAGGCCCTGTGGAATTAGCATGATTGTGATACCTGTTACTAAGCTACAACAGGCCACACTGTAACCTCAGAAATTCACCAGCATGAAAGAAAAGGCCAGAGCATCTTCCAAAGTGTGTGCAAAATCCATTCGTTTGATAAAAAATGTACCGGGTATCTACCATGTGCAAGAGGCTGAATATGCAACGGAGCAGAGTGGGGAGGAGGAGGGGGAGGGGATGCTAGGAAAATGGGTGTGATGGGTGCCCATGATGGAGATAGAGTTGCCCAGGGGATGAAGGGGCTTCACCTGAAGTCGTAGGGGAGGGTTTCCAAGATCCAGCCCTGACCATGCACTGAACGCAGCCTAGAGACAAGCTGGCACAAAAGTGTAGATGGCAAAGTAGCCCCGGAAACCTTCTCACTCTTTATTTTTTAGATCTGAAAGAGGGTTTGTGTATATCTGAAGGCACAGCTAAGGTTATTTCTGGAGGGACACGGCCACACGGGACCCTGATCTCCTAACTCCCAGTCCGGTACTCCTCCACCCAAAGCATTTCAGATGTCTAGTTTATTATTTTACAATGCATGGAAGTCAGGCTTCGGGGAAGTTCTACATTCCTGAGAGATAAATCAGGCTGCCATCTTTCCAAATGGGGCCATTTGCTAGCTCCCCTCCATCTGAATGTTTGAGGCAAGTCAAGGGAAAGACACCCTGGCATTTTCTTAGGTGGGATTTCTTAGTTTAATTGTTAGTTGTTAGAAAAGGCCCTATTTCCTCTGCATTTCCTTAGAATTTCTCCTGTCCAGGCTTTCCAGAACACTGGATTAACCAGACCACCTCTTCCTTATGGTCTTCCTAGTTATTTATCTTAGTCAGTTCTCTACCAGCTCATAAGGAATCTCAGCTCGATGGAAAAATTTACTAACAGCATTTAAAGTAAAACAAGACGAACCACCGAACAGGAGAAACATGATCAATTTCAGGTAGTATAGAATGTAGGTAATAGGTACACTCACACAATACAAGCATCACGTGGCCAAACAATGATTCTTGCTTTTCTAGATTGCAGGAGACAGCACTGCTGGCTGGACTCCGCAACAGACCTGTGCACCTTCCCACACATTTCCTGCTCCTGCTGCTGGTGCCTGCTAATTTGTAAATCAGGGTCTGTTCTCTAAACTACTCCTACCAACTAACGTGCCTAACCAACTAGGAGTCATCTAAAAAGCCTAAATCAAAGAACAGTTTCCAAAAGGTGCTCTTGTCAGAGCAATTCAGCAGCACACCCACCTCAACTCTTTACAGGTTCACACGAGCACATCTATAATCCTCCGTTTCACACTTCCTTGTTAAGCTAGAATTTTTAAAAGTTCTGGCATCTCTCCTATCTAGATATCTTTAAAAATCACAATTGATTCAAAGTTATTGTTTCTAGTGTAAAGATAGGTATATTCCACCTCTGATGATAAAGGACACAGGGTCAAAATAAATGTCTCCAATTTCCCAATTTCAATAGCAGAGCTTTTGATTTAAAAAAAATTAAATTTGGCCAAATTTCCAGTGAAACAAGAGGCAAGTCAGTTTGTGATTTAATTGTGATTTGTTTCACAGTTATCAAGACTATGAGGAGACAAAAGTACAGAAAGAATATTCTGAAAATTAAATCTTTAATTGGCACAATATAAGTTGCTTATGTCTAACTATTTAGAATAAAGGCGTCATGAACTATGGGAAAATGTTTTTAAATAATCAGAATAAAGATCCACTCAGTTTTGACTATTAAAAAGTCACCATATGACACTACAAACAGAATTAAGAGATTTACATTTTAGAATTAAGAATTTAGCTATCTGAATAATTTAAGTTTCAAACATTTTTCTTTTCCTATATTTCATTGGCAGAATAAACTTCAACTATTACTAAATTCTTCCAGATTATGCAAAAGCCACTGAACAAACTTTGATAAATGACACATTGGGTTGACATTCTACTGAAACATATGAATAGGCTTAACTATTATACAGCATTCATTTTCTGTTCAAAGATTTTACACAGTGGTGACAGTAAGATAAAATATTTAGCAACAGAAAATTCAGGAAAATTGTGCTTATATGAGAAATATTCTGTTCTTATAGCAGTCAAGAAGTCATATAAATTTAGTTAATATTTTATCATAGTGGTTCATTTAACTTTCTGCACTGAATGGAAAACGTCAAGCACTGCCCATATAATCTCTAAGTCTAAATGGAGATGAGCTCCTCCAAATTTCATAATCACTACAATATTATTCCTTGCATGAGAACAGTTGGTTCTCTTTAATCAATTCTGACATATACAACTATCCAGTACTTTTAGTCCCTTTATGACTGGCGGCCAATCACGTCCTGGTAGCTTTGTGTCACCCAAGACCAACAGTAATTCCCGTCAGCTTCCTGGTCATGAAGCTACCTGTGAATATTATAGGGGGCAAAACCAATTTTTTTTTTTTTTGAGCTGGAGTCTCACTCTGTAACCCAGACTGGAGTGCAGTGGCCACTCCCGGCCACCGCAGCCTCGACCTGCTGGGCTCCAGCGATCCTTCCACCTCAGCCTTCCAAGTAGCTGGAACTATAGGCATGCGCTACCACACCCAGCTAATTTTTTGATTTATTATAGAGATGAGGTCTCACCAAGTTGCCCAGGCAAGTCTCGAACCCTCGGGCTCAGGCAATCCACTCACCTCAGCCTCCCAAGGCGCGGGATTACAGGCTGAGCCACCGAACCCGGCTAAAACCAATTTTTAAAATTATGAAATTAATAAGTGCTCTTTGCGAAAAAAAAACAACAAGGTCAGGTCATATATCCATTTATGTAAAATAAAAGCACACCTCAGCCTTTCCCATTAAACAAGTCATGAGGCACCCTTTACACTGAATTCTAGGCAAACGGTGGCTCCCAGAGCACAAGGTAGAGGCCCTGGCCCCGTCAGCCCCTGCCCATTTCTGCAAGGAGAGGTAGCTGTTACCAACACTGTGAGAAGTCTCTGTTCCTCCATACTCTCCACACCTGTATAAACATACATCTCTTCCTCATTCTTCTTAACTCTGCACAACATATCACAGTGCAGAAGTGCCACAATTTTGCCACACCCCACCGACAGACATGAAGTTGGTTTCCAATTGTTTCTATGAGAAACAGCAAAGCAGTGAGATGTGCTCTTACACAAGTGATTCTGCTGGCCAGGCTCATGGAAGCAGAATTGCTGGCTAAGCATCTTGTATATTTTGGTGAGTACTCCCAAAGTGCCCTCCAAAAAGGTTGCCACAATTTATATTCCCACCGCCAGTGTATGAGAAGTATAGACAACTCTGAAAGATAAGCTTTGCATTTCATATAAGCCACTAGGTACACTCAAAGGCAGTCTGGGAAAGTCCACTTCATTTCACCTTCACTTGAACTCTGTGCATTCATGTAGCTGAAGTTGCTTCCTCACCGGGAAGAGCACTCAGCCAGAGGAAAGGCTGAGGCTTGAACCATCACAGAACACACTCCCCTGCCACCCAGCCAAACCTCTCCTGGTCTAACTTTCCTTTCCTTGGGGTAGAGGGAAAGGTTGTATTTGGATTTCAGCCCTTGACCTTTAATCTTGGAGTGATCTGGTTTGGTCTGCCTCAATCTATATTTTTGGCTTAGCTGCTTTTAACTGCATGGATTCAAGCACAGGTACTTCTATCCTGTACCTCTAGAAAGTCCCCTAGAGTTCTCCTTGTTGTATAGCAGCAAGTGTTTATTCAGGAACTATTTGTCTGGAAAAGCATGCTGAAGGAAGACCAACCAAAAACATAGGAAACTAGAAACCACTGACTTGGAAATGTACAAGCCAAAGAACCAATCTTAGGAATATGTTTAAGTAACTGACTTATTTGTGCTGAAAAGTATTCTTTGTAGAAGATAAAATCTGTTTAAATTATATGAAAAATATTCTTATTTTTTAAAGACCTCTTCAATACTGGCCTTTCAACTACAAAAAAATAATGCCTTGACAACACCTTTGAAATTTGTCTTTTTATGCCACCGAAAACACCTATGGAAACCGAGAACCTGACTCAGGGTCTTAACAACGAGACATAGTGGCTAAGATTTTTAACCTGAAATGGAGCTGGATCTAAAAAGATGATAAGTAGAGAAGCAGCATTAGATACTTGAAAAAGCACAGATTTCAGAGTTAAGACCTACGGGTGTTTGTTCTCCTAAGCAGCATCTTTGCTTTTAACTTATGATCTCTGAAACGTAACTTGAAAATCGTTTGAACTAACTGATACAAGGCTTTGAGTCAAATTTTTACCTATGCAGAGCAAGGTACAAGTCTCCGTGTAAAACCTGAGTTGTATTGATCTCATTCTGGCTCCCTCTAACTTCCCCATTCCATTTTCCAGTTTATATTATTACTACATTTATCTCTATAAACTGCCTCAAATCCTATGTTTATTTCCAAAAACTGAGTAATCTGGAGAAGATTTTTTTAACCTGTTACTCTGAGTTTTACTCACATATCAAAGTAGGGTAATCTCAAGATAACACACACTGGGTTATTAGAAAGATCACAGGATAAGATAAAATATAGAAAGAGCCTTTATAAACTGTAGAAAATTAAACAGAATTTTTTTTTTTTTTGAGTTGGAGTCTCACTCTGTCACCCAGACTGGAGTGCAGTGGCCACTCCCGGCCACCGCAGCCTTGACCTACTGGGCTCCGGCGATCCTTCTGCCTCAGCCTTCCACGTAGCCAGAATTACAGGCATGCACTACCACACCCGGCTGATTTTTTGATTTATTGTAGAGATGAGGTCTCGCTGGCCCAAGCGGGTCTCGAACTCGCGGGCTCAGACAATCCACTCACCTCAGTTTCCCAAAGGCACAGGATTACAGGCTGAGCCACCGAGCCCAGCAAGAATTTTTTAACAGTACACACCAGTAATCAAGACTGATTATCTCTTAACCACACATAGATATTCTTCATGTGATGCTTTCTATTATTTGGCACTAAAATTTAGAAATAAAAACCCAGAGCCTCTAAAAAGTATGTGAAATAAACGATGAATAAAACAGAAGAAAGTGTTTGAGAAGTCTTCACTCTAGAACTGGTGTATTTCTAACAAGTTTTTACCAAAGTAAAGATACTACCTTGAAAAGCCTGAAGACAGAAGATGTGATACAGTCATTTGATTTTAAAACCTGCCTTTTTTCTTTCTTTCTTTCTTTTTTTTTTTTTAAATATATTTCCATCCAGACCATAATCCTTCAAAGAAAAAGGGGGAAAACAATAGCTTTTCCAGATGGTACCATATGGGAAGTAGAAGGTGAGTGGGACTAACTAGTCATTCACTAGATGTCAGGCATTTGCACAGGCATTTTAATACATGCTATTATTTAATTTTTATAAGAAAGATATTATTATCTCTCACTTTATAGATGAAGAAACCGATCTCAAGGGGAGGCTACCTTAGCCAAGATCAAGTTAAATGGCAAACCAGGATTCACATCATTTCTCTCTGTCCTTAAAGCCCATATCCCCATTACACAATGGTGCTTGAGGGAAAATTGGCATTTCCCCAAATCAGTTGAGCTGGGTCTGCCTAGAGTCAGCTGTGTAGACAAGAAAAAGACAGAACGTGCCACAGAAAGGCAGAAAGGAGGTCCACTGTCTAACATATCTGGAAACAGACTCAACACAAGTCTGTATGTTTAACAGCAGCAGTATCCAAGCTACTAAATTATTTTGCAGAATAATTTGTAGCCTGAAATTCAGAGAACATTTATTCTTCAAATTTTGGTTTTACTTTTGCCTCTGTGCTACTTGGAGTTCTTTCACGGGTTTCATAGAAAAAAAACTTTGAGTTAAAATGTTTCTTGGAGGTAAACTAAGTCCCTCACCCCCCATTTACAGATAAGGGAATTGAGGCTCAAGAGATAAAGACAATCAGAATCCCAGTAAGTGAAAACTGCTGCTGTGCTTTGGCGTCTACTAAGCTGCTGGTCTTTCCACTAAAATGCAGATGTGATTTCCCAGGCATGATGGCATTTGAATTCTAGGTCTATTTTAGAAACCCACACATTCCTGATATGCTTGGGGCATAATAATCCCAAATCCATGTTTTTTTTTCTATTGTGTGAAAAAGGGAGAAGTTAAGAATTTATTAAGCAAGATCAAACCTGCATTCAGTTTAATAAACACCCTAGCATATGCTGGGGACAAAACAGGGGGAAGCCACATTTCTACAATCTGGACGGAGAAATGTACTTACAGAAATTTCCTGAGACAAGAGTCATTAGTTCTGCCGGGAGTATACTCAGGAGGAAGAACTTTTATAAAATTGTCCCCGACCATTTAAAAATATTTTTTATAATTTTTAACTAGGCCTCCCTCCAAAAGATTACCCTAATGCTTAACTTGGTCTGCGTATCTTTCAGTTCAATGGTAGACTCTTTGAAGCCTTGAAAATACAATTAAAATTAAACCTCATTACCTTAAAGTCCCATAAAAAAAAAATCTATGCTCCAGAAGTCACCGCACCTTTTTTGATTCATAAGAAGTTCTCGGTGAAGATCCTGATGGTTCCGGGAGGTTTTAACAGGATTGACCAGTTTCTGAGGCCTAATTAGTTCAGGATTGTCATCTTCTATATAGTCTGGCTCGGCCATGATGTTTCTTGGGATGAGATATAAGTCCTTAGGATCAGTATCCTCAGGTGGGCCGTCTGAAAGAGAAAGATGAGACAGGTGCATTGGTGGTCTTTTCTGCTGAGACTTCACACAGGCAGAGGCCCACAGAACAGGGCACGGCAGAGCACACTGAGACATGGTGGCCTCCCGGGCCCACTTCGAGACATCACCGATAAATCTAAAGTGTTTAGAATGGAATTGGGGAGCACGGGGCGAGAAGAAGGGTGGCCTGGTTCTATGTGGCCCAGGACTAAGGCCAAGGAGCCCTGTGACCTGACTCCAGTCATTACGCTCACACACCTTGAGTTCTGGTCACACAGGACACTTCCTGTCACATCTCAATGTCAACCTCAGAAGGAGGAGTTGGGCATGTCAGAAAAAGGAAAATTCAAAAGGAAATTTTAACAGGGGCCCACGATGGCTACAGTCAGGCACATACATCATAAAACCTAGGACTTTTATAAAATAAAGTTGACCTCTTCTTGCCTGTGTAACCGGGGTTTGTTAACTATTTCACTGACAGGTACTGGTTCTAAACCTATTTATCAGATAGAGAACAAAGACAGGACAGAATCAGTCACCTTCCACCAGACCCTAAACACCCAGCCTTTCTCCCAGCCCTCCTTTGAATGTTTACCTTATCTTACACAAGGTGTCACTGAGTACCACTCAGAACCACAAGAATGTGACTGCTGCTTCTCTCACTTTCTGTGCCAAAGTATCCCCATTAGAGAATTTAAGGCCAGGTGCGGAGGCTCACACCTGTAATCTCAGTACTCTGGAAGGATCGCTTGAGGCCAGGTGTTTGAGACTAACCTGGGTGAGACCCTGTCTCTACAGGAAAAAAAAAAGTTTTTAATGAGGTGGGCATAACAGCTTGTGCCTATAGTCCCAGTTACTCAGGAGGCTGAGGTGGAAGGATTGCCTGAGTCCAGGAGTTTGAGGCTGCAGTGAGTTTCAATTGTGCCCCTGCACTCCAATCTGTACAACACAGTAAGATAACTGTCTCTTAAAAAAAAGAGAGAGAAAAAGAAAATGTATATATACAGTGCCTCATGTAACCTACTTTGAGATGCATTCTCGGTCTATATGAGTTGTGTTCCCAGACTTAAGTTCTCAGGCTTGGCTCAGACTAAATCTAACCATGATTTCTCTAAATGCTAGTGCCTGCTATTTCATTTTGCAGTCAACAGGCATCTAAGTCCTTTATTGTTTCCTTCAGTTTCCGGAAATTAGTCTACACTATAAGCCTATCATTGCTGACCCTGCTTCAGTGGCAGAGGTTTCTGGAGCTCAGGGTAGGGATCTCTGGCCTATGAAAGTGATGTTACTGGTCACTGTCTCCTTCTCTCTTCCTTGAGTATCTGGGTGGGGAGTGAGGGACAGTGAAAACAGAAACCGTGGGAACTTGACATTTTTATAGTAACATCTTTTGAAAATTAATGTGAAAATAAAGAGAATGAATATCTGAAGAATAAGTCAACTAAAAACAAAAAACTGTAGCATCACCATTTGTTTGCATATCTTAGGTATCACTGCATGATTAAGGCTCACAGTCAGTCAATGACAAGGCGTATGAAACAAAGTACACCAAACATTCCTTAGACACTATCTGCTCTGATCTTTTAAAACAAGAACACCTGCAACCTTAACCAAATTGAGAAGTACAAACCTTGCACAGGGAAACCCAGTGAGCCCATCACAGCCAGCCTGACTTCAACACACTGCCCCGCGGAAAAGCGTGCTCCTCGGCTGGTCTCCAACGCACCACACACACCTCTCTGCAGTCACGGATGTCTTGAAAGTCCACAGCAGTTTCATTCTAGTTAATCGTTAGACAGAGAAGCCACTTACTTCCATAAAAGGATCTGTTTCTCTCCCTGAACCACGGATGAGCTCCATGACACCAAACCCAAACAAACAACGTAAGGAAGGGTGAGCCAAGTGCTGTGTGAGAAGGGCAGGCCAGCCCCCGCCTGACAGAGGGAACAGCTTGTGCAAAGGCCCTGGCAGGAGTGTGCCTGGTGGGGAAAGGGGGTGACAAAGAAGCCAGGGTGACCGGCGGGAGTGAAGGATGTTAAGGACAGAGGCTGTGGGAACTTGAAGGCCAGCATAAGGACTCGACTCTGGTCTCTACCCCAGGGGATATGGGAAACCATTTCAGGGTTTTGAGCACAGAGGTGACAAGATGTGACTCAGGTTTTAGAAGACACTTCTAAGTTTGGAAGAGACTGGAGGCAGGCAGAGAGCATCAGGCTGGCGGCTCTTGGGTAATCCAGGTGAGAGACAGTTTGGACCAGCACAGCTGCAGTCAAGGAGGTGGACCACCCGACTGGAGACATATTTTGAAGGTAAAGCCTCTGGGACTTCCTGAGGGACTGGCATGAGGTGTGAAAGGCATGAAGGAATCAAGGATGACTGGGAGGTTTCTGGCCTGAGCAACCAGAAGGTTTGCGTTGTCCTGACGGGAGCAAGTGGCTCAGGCTGAGAGACAGGAGCAGATGGCTTGGTCATGCTGAGCTGGAGATGTTTATTTGACATCAAATGGTGACAGTGGGAGGCAAGTGTGATCAGCGGTCAGGCCTGGGTGACCTAAGCCTGTCCTTGGCCAGAAGCAGGAGGCCCGGCAGCTTCTCATGTGTAGACCGCACTGGGGTCTAGGAAGAGTAACAAAGGGGTGAACGGACCTGGAGCAACCACTTTGGGAGTCTCTGTGTGCTCACGGCAGTGATGGTGACGGTGAATGGTCTGGGATCCGGGTTCCAATCACTTCTCAGTGATATGCCACCCTGGAGTCATGCCTAGTACGTGGCAATAACCATCACAATGACTTTCTCACCTTCCTCCATCAACCATTTTGCTCCCTGATCTCAATGCTGAACAATATAATTCTGATAAGATAACTCTTCCATCTCCCAAACCCTACCCTCCTGGTCAACACCACCCATCCCATTTTCTCACACTCTTCCTCCTCTATCGTGCTGAGGCCAGCACCATTCCCTCTTGCAGGCATGCTGAGCCTTCTTCCACTTTGGCCTCAGATCTCCACAAGGCCAAATCTCACACATCCTGCAGATCCAGATAAAGGTTGCATCTTCCATGAAGCCTCCCCAAAGCCTATGAAATGTTCTTTGCTCCCTTTTCCTAGTATTCACCAATCACTATTACAGCGATGTGGATATAAATCTTACCTCTTCATTGCAAAGACCACATTTGGTTTATGTTCATATTCCTCAAACCCCTTGGGTTTGTTCAATAAATATTACTGAAATCAACAAAGTCATCAGTCACCTAACAATAAGGGGCATCCCTGAGCTATTTGGATTCCACACCAGGGAGGTACAGCCCTGACAATGGGGTTGAAAGGCCAGGGTAGTTTCCCCACTGAGCTTGGAGTGACCCAGAAGCCTGAGAGTAAAGCTGCGGCAGAAATGTCTGGTACCTTAAAAGTAAAGTACCTTTAAGTGAATATTATTGTTATCACAAGGAACATCTTTTCTAGAGATAAACACAAAGATATTCTTGCCACACTTCAATGGTCAAGTGAGTTATTCATAAAGTTTTAAAATCAAGTGCAAGAAAATTAGTGCTGGCTCAATTAGGAGAAATAAAACTGGTCTGAGATCTTGGACAAAGCGTAACTTCCCTGACTACTCAGGTCTCCTAGGTTTAAAATGAACGTTGATGCACGAGTTGACGGAAATGTGTGTGCAAGGACTCTGCATACTCCCTGGCACGTGTATGAGGACTCAATCACTAGAAGTTAATATCGCCCAAACTATGTGACCAACAGCATTAGTTATTTTACTTAGGAGGCGAGGTGACTTTGTATATAACACACTACTTCTCTAGGCCTTGGTTCCCTAAAAAACATGAGTTCCATGGAATGAGCCACTGGTAACATTCAATGGCATTTTGTGCTGACTGCTTTCCAAAGGTGAAGCACCATTCCCACAGACAATGTCCACCACTGGGCTAATCACACAAGCATTCACTGCAGCTGAGCTTCCTTCCCCAGCATACTATTTTGGCTCTGTATTTGCACATTTCTACATCAAACAGATAAAGTTCAAAACCGGACCCGCTGGGATTAAAAAACCAGAATTTAGAGATTATGCTAATTTTCATGTTTACCTAAATATTTAGAATCTAATTCTATCTGGAAGCACTAATACTTGAATTCTTTTTAGAACAATCACATGAAATATGGCAATGTATACAGTTGACAGGTGTGCTATAACCACTGAAAGCTAAAAAAACTTTTGAACTGCTACAGCAACTTCTGGAAATCTCAAAGAAATTCCAAGGAATTCTTTAGAGAATCTGTTCCCCAGGCTGTCTCTAAGACATTCTGGCAATCCTCTGGCAATATCCTGAGAAATGTCACATAAGAGTGTGCAGACTGGCAAATGCCAGGTCGGGTCAGCCCGAAATAGAAAAAGCTTCTCTCGGATCCAAAGTCCCTCTCACACCCACAGTCCCCAGACAAGCAGAAAAGTGAGTGTGAGTTCACACGAGAATTTCTCCCAAACAGCAATTGGCTTCATCTCACAAACTCTGGACCTGTCTGGCTTTGAGGCAAACCTAAAAATTCAGTCTTGGACCAGGAGACAGTGGCATCACTTGGTACCAAAAGGCAAGCACCCAGTAGACCTCTGCAGCCACAAACCTGGTGTACCCAGGCTTAGAAGCGACATCTCACCAGAGTCATCTGCATAAGCATATTTTTCCAGACTCTGCCAAGCTCCACTACTGCTATGGGACAGTCCCTTGTGGCTCCCCAAGCCGGTCATTTAAAACAACGGACACAGAACAAATTTGCTGCCAATACGCTGCTGTACAAATGCCAAACAGTGATGCTCCTGGGAAACTATCAAATTCATTTTCTCATCAGTTTTTCCATCCCCCCAAAAATGTATTTTTACAATTGAGGCATATTTTTATATTTCTATTCAGAAAATGGGGAAGGAGGAGAGAGAGAGACTACCAAGGAAGGCAAGAAACATTAGGCAGAACTCAATCCTGCCAAGATCAG